CGGCGAGGCCCGCGGGCGAAGTGGGCGCCACGCCGCCCGCGCCGGCCATGCCACCGAAGACCATGGCCGTGGCGCCCAAGACGCTGAGCCCGATGCCGGCCAGCTTGCGGGGGTTGGCCGCCTCCTGGCGTAGCGCGATGCCCAGCAGGGCGGTGAAGACGGGGATGGCGGGCTGGATGCAGGTGGCCACCACCACGCCAGACAGGTCGATACCCAGCATGTAGAGCAGCTGGCTGGCAAAGAGGCAGACGCCGAGCAGGACGACGAGGGGGAGGTCGCGGCGGGCCGGGACCAGGGTACCTGTTGGGGAAGTAAGGGGGGGGGAAGGAAGATGGGGGAATGTGATGGAGAGAGGGAGGGCCATGTTGCAGCCAGCCAGATGTGTGCACGGTCTCGTGGCGGCGCTGCATGGAGCTGCGGCGAGGGCTGGGCGGCGATCCAGAGCCCGCTGCGGGGGCGACACGGCCAGGATTTACCGCCCAGCAAGGGGAACCGCCCCCCTTTCCCCCGTGCTCGTCCACCCAGCCCACCCTTGTATCGGGCGAGGCCCAGCAAGATGGGGGCTGCGGTGGCCTCACGGGCAAAGGCAAACACTACCGGGTTGAAGCCGGGGTGGCTGCTCCCGCCGTGCACCTCCTCCAGGTCTGTGATCACGGACTTCAGGTACACGGAGCCCACGACAAAGGAGCTCTGCGCCAGGGAAATTGCTGCCTGGCGGCGCCATGCTGCAGGGTGTGCATGACAAAGGGGGGGGGGGGGGTTCAAGCCTGTACCAAGGGTGAGTGGCCCCACCTTTGTCCCCTTGCAGGAGGAATACACCCAGCACATCCGAACAGGCCAGGGCCTTCCTGACAGCTGCCGAGGTCGCACCTTCATGCCGCTGAACAACACCAGGCACCAGGCTGGCCTCGGCCAGGTCCGCCACAGGGATGACCTTGCCCTTGTTGCTGGGCATAGCTCCCGCTCCCTGTTCCGAGTCACCACCGTCCAGGGAACGGCATGTTTACCGGGACGTTGCAGGCGTCGCCAAGCGTTCACATGCAAGCCAAAGTGTGTAGCAGTTGGGTGTCCGCTGGTCCTTGCTCCTGGCCTCGGCGCATGATCGGATGGATCTAGGCACTGAACTGACTCCTGAATGTGCTTCCTAAGAAGCAATCCTGTCCTTGTGCCGTCAGATGTCGGCGACGCGGTGCGCGAGGGCCCAATTGGCGGTCAGGCGGTCGGTCTGATCATCGACCACGACTTGAGTCCGACGAGCTGTCGACCTGAGTCCCGTTGATTGTGTCTTTATAAATAGGGTAAGAGCCGGGAGTTCGCACTTCAGAATGTGAATCTCAAGAAGGATATTGCCATAGCATGGGCGCAGATCTTTCTTCAGCCCTGGAGTTGTGTTGCCATTCTGCACTCCTCGGCACAGACCTCATGCTCCCACATGTCTTTACCAACAGAACCTGTGCTGACCTCAGCTGTATGATAAGTCCCAACACTTGCATGCTTCAAGCCTCATCGTTGATTCATTGCAGGGCGTGCTGCTGAGCCAGTAGCTCCCGAGCCTTCCTGTGTGTGCGGACGATGATTTCATGTTTCTGGCATCCAAAGGAATGCCCAAGCATTGGCCCACCTGATCGAGCCACCCACTCGCTCACCTCCTCCGGGCCTGGAGCTGCGCCTCGTGTCTTTGTACAGGCCCGGCAGCTTCTGCCTCCCCACCAAACACCTCAAGCTCCGAAGCTGGTTCAATGTAGAGGGGCAGCTCTGCAGGCTCCCCTGCTTTTGGGGGCTGTGGGATGGCAGCGGTGGGTCCTTGCTGCCGTCCCACAAGCCACGGTGGCACGTCCAAAGCAGCTGCTGCACTAGGGCCGGGTGCCGAGCCCTCGGTGGGCGGATGCACAGGCTCTGCAGCGACAAGCGGTTGGTGCAAGGGCATCGTCGCCCCAGGCGCCTCCGCCTCGTCCAGTTCGCCAGTTTCGCCCACCAGCCTCCTTTGGGAAAAGGGGCGACACATTTGGATGAGCATGGAGCGCTGCCTGGCAGAACTGCATGCGCAGGAGATCCACTCCCGGCTGTCGCCACTAGATGCTGGCCACATCACGGTCCTCAGGTTCCTGACCTGTAGCGTTTGTGATCGGGGTGGGCTGGGTCCAGGAACGAGAAGGTCCCGGTCGTGCCCATCAGGCCTGCGACGCGCCTCTCAAATGCAGGGCCATGCTCCTGCAATGGGATGCACGGGCAGAGAGTGGGCATAGGAGACTTTGTTTACAGCAGGTGCTTAGCAGAGGTCATGAAATCAAGGGTCAGGGATTTGGGATTCGTAAGAGAAAGGTGCCTTCCACTCCCAGGAGCAAAGTGTACAGCAATGCCTGCACCCCCGCGACCTCTGCCACCCATCGGAACAGGTATACCAAACGCATACCCAGATGCTCCTCATTATGCGCATCTCCACCCCCGTGAAGGGGTGCACAAACACAGCGTCTGTGCGTCCACTCACCTGCACAGAAGCAGCCAGGCGCTGCATGACTCTCAACAAGCTCGATGCCGTGTCAGGGCCTGGGCTGAGATCCTGTGCCACATGCAAGGCCTCGACCCCTGTGTCCTCCTCTGGCAGGCCGGTCAGCCACTTGAAGAATGCGTGGCGGGCGTCCTCCGGCTGCAGGAAGCCGAAGAGGGGCTGGCGGGCATGGCGCACTCTCATCAGGATCTCCAGCTGTGGACCCCCGCCCCGCACGGCGCGCGCAGCCTGCAGCATCACCTGAATCGAGGGCCCAGGGTCACAAGGTCTGGCCGGCACATCAAGCAGGAGGCGCACGGTGGGAAGGGCGAGAGGCAGTGTCATAACTGAAGAGTACACCTGGGCACTCCCTTTGCCCATCATTCTACACCGCGCAGGACACACCTTGAGGTGACGCAGGGTGGTGGGCGCCACACCAGCCAGTCGCAGGTTCCCAGGGACTCTGCCGGTGGGCTGGAAAGCAGGGTCATCATTGCCGGGCTCGGGCGCGCTGGGAGCTTGGGGTTCCTCCACTCGACTGCTGTCACTGAGTGTGGCCCCGTACTCAAAGGGAACTGCAGCTCCAGTGGAGATGGGGTGCTGGCATGCAGCCATCAGGTCTGCAGAGCAGTTGTGGAGTACGGCGATTCTCAAAACGGACCAGCATCTGCTCGTTCCACAGCATTACTGTGCAAGCATGGCTGAGCATGCCTGCCAGGCTGTGGTATGCTTGGGACATTCGTGCTTCCACTGGCTGTCCCATACCCAAGTGCCCGCTGACCTGGCGACGGGGATGCATCGCTGGACGATGCAAAATCTGCTCGTGCGGCCAAGGTGTCTGCGTACCGCTCACCATCCAGCTCGATGTCTGAGAGGGTGCGCTCGTGTACAGGGGCCGAGTCGCCGAGAGGCGAGTCTAAAAGCAGCCTGCCAGGGAGAGAGGGGGTCATTGCTGTCCATTTGATTTTCATGACAAGGATAAGGCTTACCTGAAACCTTCATATACACAATCACCACATGGTATGCGCATCAATAGATTCAGAAAATCGAAGGATGTCGGTTGCATCCCCTCTCCCAGAGAATTCCGAGCGAGCTTGCCTGGCATCAAACCGGTCCACGAGAGTGCTGGGCAGGCCCCAGCATCTGAGCAGGTTACCATCGTCTTCCAAGGCCAAAGCCGTTTCGTCACCCCTCACAATATCACATTGAATCCCATGCACGTGCAGCTGGAGTGTGTCTGTGTCTCTCCGAGTGCCTGCGAACGCCTGGGGCCGGGTGTGCTTGAGCATGTAAAAGGAGGAGTGTTCCTTCCAAAGAGGTTGGGCTGATCTTTTTATATGCCAAATTACTCTGGGCAAGGGTTCAAGATATAAAGCGAGGTGTACATATCCAATAATACAGGTCACTCGTCGGATGATTTCGAAACGGGATGCACACACAATGGTGGACCGCTGTATATGACCTGAAGTAGGGGTGTTACAGACGAGACCCCGAATACGGTGAGGGGCTTGGGTTTCATAGGCGCCGCAAGGAGGCGTGGACTCGGTGCGGAGCGAGAACAGGTGGAAAGTGGGGAAAGGGCCCGGTCAAGGGGAACCCCCACAACACCACTCCCCTTCCTTGAAGTGTGACAGTGACGGCCTCAGTTCCGACTGTCTGTAGGACACATTGCACATTGATGGCACAAGGCCATCGAACCATCATGAGGCTGGGAGGAAGGGGCACACCTGATCGCTTACACATCCGCTTCTGCCGCGAGCTCGTTGTTCTGCACGCAAACTTGTTTCGAACGCTGAACCCTGTAACCCAGCGGGCGTCGCTCGCATCACAGATAAAACAGTCATCAATGCAAGGCAGCCAATCCTTGTCCGAAGGGATGGTGTAGGTGGAGAGTTTGGTCTGCACCCCTCCTACGGTGTATTACAAAAGGCCTGTGAAGAAAACAGGGGATGCGCGGTCTTCCACGTATGACCAGAGGTCCACTTGTCCCAAGCACACCTTTCACCCTCGGGCACCCAGATCGCAGTGACTCTGGCTCGCGATGTGTGATGTTGGTTGGGGGTCGCAAAACACGGCAGCAGGCAGCGGCAGCGCGGCGGTAGGTGGCAGCAGCTGATAGTAGCCGCCTCCACATTGACCGAATCTTAGTGTCGACGGTGGGAATTCTTTGGCGCACGCCCTTGCGACCCACAATGGACAAAGGGCGAGAATCTGGCCGACTTTGCACCGATTTCTTGTCTTGTTTGTACATCTGAGCACTATTTAATTTTGACGAGACCGGATCCACCCATTTCCGGCATCAGTGTCGACCCAGCGCTGTCCCTGTGCGCCCCTCCCGGTCGCACCCACGCCCGAAGTCTACACCTCGCCGTGTCCCACAACACCCTTTGCCGCCATCCCAACCATCTATAATGTCTTGGTGAGTTCCGGCGTGCGCTGGGAAGTCGAAATGTAGGACTTCACAGTTGGGTTGTCCTGGATCCGGTGGTTGCATGGACGGGATCCGACTGTATCGACATCCTCAGGGTATGGTCTCACCGTCGACTTGGAGAAACATCTCGGATCTTCTCTTGTTGAAGACCATCCACACCCCTTTTCACTCCATTCGACAGGATTGACCGGGCTGTCTGACCCCTGTGTCACCAGTCGACAACGACTCTCGTGTTGCCATGACTGAACGCCTCAGTCAGCCGTGAGTGTGATACTTTTATCTTGTAGTTGGGATGGGGGTTGGGTGGACTGGGTTGCGTTGACATTCAGGCATAGGCGTCTCTCGCAATCTTCACCACCGGGCAACCCCCCCCCCCCCCCCTCGGGGTTGCTATGACATGGAGGTCTAGGCTCAGACTGTCCTCGCATCCACTGCTTCAACAGGGTGCCTGGGGCCAGGCCGAGACAGCTCCCCAAGCTGGGCAACCGGCTGCAGCCTCGGGACTGGGTGCCCACGGCCGAGGCCGCGATTCGGCGCCGCGACTGCCTGATGCGGTGTGCGGGGATCGAGTCGCAGCCGGGGGAACGCCGACACGTCATACATCAAAATTGGTTGGCACTGGCCGCCTCGGTCCCTCCTCCTCCGAGGTGTGGCGAAGTCGCTTGCTTGGGTTGGCGAGGAGTCTTGATCGTGGGGTTTGCGTCGTT